CGGAGGGGCTGGGGGCAGAATGGGAGGGAGGGACAGTGGAGAAAGGGACCGGAGCCATACAGGGACAGGCTGCGAGAACGATGGGTGAGCCCTGAGGAGCAACCGGGGATAGAGATGGGGAGGACCGGGACCAGCAGCGCCCCGGTGGGGCTGCGGAGAGGCCGGGAGAGGGGATGGGAGGAGGATGGAGGGAAGGGGAGGGCGAGGCTGCGGGGACCGGAGCGGGCCGAGACGGGGAAGAGGTGCGCCGCGGTGAAGGAGAGGGACGGGGGCAGGGGCAGGGGTCAGGGATGCGAGCTGAAGGGTCGGGCGGGAGGAACACCAAGGAAAGAGAGGAAGGGGTGGGGGAAGGGAGACGACAGAGAAGGAGGTGAGGAGGCTGCGGAGGAGGTGAGACGGAGGCGGAGGCAGGGACGCAGGGCCGGGGAAGAGGAGATGGAGACGGGACCGCGGCGCCTGCCGCAGTGCGAGCCTCGCGGGTGCCCGCTGCCGCCGTCCCGTCGCAGGTCGGTGGAAAGCGCGCCCCACCGGGGTCTCCCCAGTACTCACCCGGGGGCTCCAGCTCCGGATCCTGAGCACCACGCCGGATCTTCCTTCCCGCCCTGCCCCTGCGACTTTAGCGCCCCCGAATCCCGCTTGCTCCGGCAGGTTCCGCCAGCAGCATCTTCACCTCGTGGGACGCCCGGGGCCACGCCTCCCCCAGATTCTCATTGGCTACTGTTCACGCCAGTCACATTACCATTGGTTGAGGTGTCGCCGGACATGCAAATCAGGACGGGCCCGCCGCCGCACCGATTGGCTGGCGCTCGCGAAGCCTAGCCCTCGACTTGGCCTCTGATTGGCTCCGCGGCCCTGACGGCGAAAGTGACGCGAGGCGGGTTCTCCGCCTAAAGTGCACGGCGCTCGCCGCCTTCCAAGGCTTCCCCGCGGGTGGCAGCGGACGGGGCGCGCCCCTCGGCCAGTCTTCGGTCCTTAAGGCCTGCGGCTGCGTTGAGCACTGGTCGCCGAGCCTGTGGGTCTGTCGAGTAGGGACTCTGTCAAAAGCGTGGGCTCCGTGGCCTCCGTGTGGCCTCCGGCGTGGCCGCGGCCGGCCGGTCTCCTAGGTAACGCGGCCCGCGGCGGGCGGAACCATGTAGGCCAACGCCGCGGGGGCGGTTGGGCGCGGCCTCGAGGTGCACCGGGCTGCAGTGTCGGCCGGAGCCTCGGGGTTCGGGGGTAGGATGGTCCGTGCCGTTCTGCGTGGGGGCTCGGTGCCTGGGGTCTGGCGGCGGCGCACGGCGAGGCCTGTCCCCGCGTCCATCGCAGGCTTCCCCCCTCGTCGGGACATTTGGTGCGGCCTGGGCCGCGAGTTGCCGATGCGCTACGTGGATTCCCCCTCTGCCCCTGCCCTTTGCCCCCTGCCCCCTGCCCCCTGCCCCCTCTGCAGTCCTTCGGCTGAAGGAACTGCGGTGCCGCTGTCCTGGTTCTTGACTTCCCGCGCCCTTGTCTGCGCACATCCTTCCGCGGCCGGAGCCCGCGGACCCCACCTTCGCTCCTGCTTCCCTCCTGCTGTCCCTGGCTGTGGCTCTGCGGCCCTCGGGCGTGCCCGCCAGGCTCTGTCCGGGGGCCGCCTCGACCTTCCGCGCCCCCTTCCTGCCCTGGGACCTCCCGGCCGACCGGGCCGGAACACGCCACCTGCTCCCGCGTGCCCTTCCCCACGCTTGCAGGCCCCCCCTGCTGCCCGAGATTCCTCGCGTCTGTCTTCTTAGGAGACCGCTTTTTGCCTCCGTGTGTCGCCATGTGTGGCTTTGGTGGACGTCTGTGAAGGCAATCTAGCTTCTCACGTGTGTGCAGTTGGCAAAAGGAGAGTGTTTCTGATGACGGTGGGCAGCGCCTCCTGGTCCTGACCTAGGGCTCTGTTGGTTGCAGCTCGCCTGTGCAGTTTCCGTAGGTTACTGTCTTTTTTGTGTGTGCTAATTTGTGTCCTTTTTCTACACGTTCTATGGGGGCAGCGAGCTTGTCTGCCGTGTTCAAGACCGTTTCTCCAGGGCTCAGGGTAGGTGCTGGAAGAATGTTCGTGAATGAGGGAATTCCAGGCAGTGCTTAATCAGGCCTCTGCTTCCCCCAAAGCTCCCCAAGGCACCTGGGTCTCGGGCATTACACATTTTCCATTCTGGGAAGAAGGCTTCCCGGACCCTGGCAGCGCCTCCTACCCCTGCGCTTTCTTTTCCCTGGGAGCTGCTATCTGTGGGACTTCAGCCCCGCCCACCTCTGCACCCTCTGGGGGTGGGGAGGGCTGTGTTAGGCTGGTGCCCTTGCCCTGTGTGCTGCTGACACACACCCTGTCTTTCTCCCCCGCTTACTTTCTAGATGCTTGAAGCAGCGCATTTCACAGCCTTAACGCACTGGAACACGAGTGCTTGGGAAACAGTTGCTGAGAGATCTCAGGGAGATTTCACAGCCCTCATTTTGGATGTTGGAAGTAGGTGGGGAGGCTGAGAGTCTGTCCTGAAGTTAAAGAGGAGAGGACATTAGCCCTGGGTCCCTGGGTTCCTTTGGTGCTCTTACTCTTTCCCTCTGGGCCTCTCTTGGCCTCCTTGGTTGAGGTAGGGGGAGGTAGTTTTAACGGTTTACAGTATTATAACTATAATACTATTATAATAGCTAGTTATAGCTAGCCATGTGACCTTGGATTGGCTGTTTAACCTTTCTGAGTCTCAGTTTTCTCATCTGTAAGATGGAGATAACGATGATTCTCATTTTGCAGAGTTGTTGGAACAGTAACCCTGGAAATATTTGCAAGTACCTGTCTTGCATGAGGGGCTCAATAAAAATGCGCATATTTTCTTCCTGGAGAGCGCACTGTACCCTTTCCTTGGGTTCAAGACCTGGAGCCCTGTCCATTTCTCTTATTGTTTGTTTGGCCCCAGGGGCCCCGCTGCACTTCCTTCAGGGCATTGGTATTTCATCCTTAAAGGAGTTTTGCTGGCCGGGCGCAGAGGCTCAGCCTGTGATCCCAGCACTTTGGGAGGCCGAGGTGGGCGGATCATGAGGTCAAGAGAATGAGACCATCCCGACCAACATGGTGAAACCCCGTCTCTACTAAAAATACAAATCTTGGCTGGGCGTGGTGGCATGTGCCTGTAGTCCCAGCTACTCAGGAGGCTGAGGCAGGAGGATCACTTGAACCCAGGTGGCGGAGGTTACAGTGAGCCCAGATTGTGCCACTGCACTCCAGCCTGACGACAGAGCGAGACTCCGTCTCAAAAAGCAAAACAAAGACTTTTGCTGAAGACCCAGACTGATGGCACAGAGCTCACACTCTTGCAGGAAAACAGCATAGCCCTGGTGAAGCATTCTGACTCTTCTGTCACCTATACTGTGTGGGAGCAGCCAGAGGTGGAGATGGGGCCCTGGCTCTGAGGAGGCAGCATTTGGTTTGACTCCTGCAGGCCAGTGCAGTGGTGGAAAGGAGCGAGGAGCAGGCGGAAGGGCACCTGGAGAGGTTTGCGAGGTGCTGGGAGGGCAGAGAGAGCTGCTGCAGCCACCTCGGCTCCCACCCCCACAGTCTCAGAAGTCACCTTGGCCTCCGTAGCCCCTCTGACTGTGGCTGCCCTGCCTCCACATCTCGAGCCTCAGGCCTTCTGTGCGGGTGGCAGGTGCTTTCAGAATGGGTGCCCTTCTGCCTAGCGTGTCCCCTGCTGGCACAGGAGGGGGCCGGCATGCTTTGTGCCCCTGGTGATGGTGGACTGGTGTGCACACATCCTTCAGCAGCGTCCTCAGGCCAGGTGTGGCACTCAGTCCTGCAGACATCCAGGGAGAGGGCAGGAGGCACCAGGTCAGAAACATGAGGAGGTGAGGAGCATGGGCATCCGCATCAGGAGAGACTTCCTCTCTAAAATCCCCACCCGAGGCCATCACGGCCTGCATTTTGTGTGAATACTCCTCTGACTGTTATGACAGTGGGAGAGAAGAGCTTGAGGGTAGCCTTGCTAAAGCTGCAGTTTGATCCTGTGACTGGTTACCAAGTTGTGATGGTACCAAGGACACAGGAGGCGACTTCTTTCTTTAAGGACTTGGTCAGTGAGCAGATCAACATGAGGTAGGTGACAGATGCTGCGACCAGGGGAAGCACAGGGGCCATGTGACCCTGGGGCCTGGATCCTGGGAGCACCTGGGAAGCCCTCCTGGAGGAGGTGGCTCTTAAGCTGGTATTGGTCAGGCATCTTCTACTTATAAGTCATGGGCAGCTGTATGATTTCCTGTGGCTTCTGTTGGAAAGTCCCACAGACCTGGTTGCTTAAAGTAGCACACATTTATTCTTTTCCAGTTTGGGAGGTCAGAAGTCCAAAGTCGGCTCTCCCTGTGGTGGCCGCGTGGCTCCAGGGGCTCTGGGCTGGCGTGGTGTGGGCAGTTGTGGGCACTGGAGGAGAGACAGCCTGGGCTCCAGTCTCCTGGGGAAGACTGATGGCTCAGTGTGGGTCGTGTATTCCTCTTTGAATCAGTCAGTGCAGGCCTTTGGCTGGAATTGGAGAGCAGCCCTCCCCACACATGGAATCGGATGAGGGTCCTCCACAAAACAAGGGCAGTTGAGCAACAAAAGTAGCGCACAGAGAACAAAAAGCAACAACCCAACTTGTGTTCCTGCTGGATTCACACAGGACTAGACTGATTGTGGTCTGCTGGGGAGTACCTGGCTCACAGGCAGCATCTAGGTGCATTGTGGGTAAAGGCAGGAGCCTGGGCCAAGGCCCTGGGGTCCGGGGGCGTCCCAGGCTACCTGGCCATGTTCTCTTGGTTCCCACACATGCCAGGAGCGTGGAGAGGTCAACCGCTAGGACAACCCTTCTCAACGCTGTGGTCTCAGACACCTTTACCCAAAGCACTTTTGTTTATGTGAGTTATGTCTATCAATGTTTACTGCCATAGAAGTTAAAACTGAGAAATGTTAAAAATATTAATTTATTTAAAAATAACAATAAAGCTGTGACATGTTAACATAAAAAACATTTTTTACAAAAACCGACTATATTATCCCAAACAAACAAATGTACAAGGGTGGGATTCATTTGCATTTTTGCAAATATCTTTACAGTCTCCTTAAGAGAAGACAGCTGAAGGCTCCTGTTTGCTTCTGTGTTCAGTCTTGGTTTAAGTATGTGAAGGAAATCCATCCCCATCTCGTTAGGGAGGGGTCTCTTGCATCATTCTTTGGATATTCTTTGCGGCTGCACTGAAAACCCCCTGAGCAGAATTTTCTTAAAGATTTGTTCTAAAGCAGAGTCTTCACCACATGAATGAACTCTTCATGGTCTGACATGAAAATCCTTTGGTCTGTCTTACTTTGGGTGGATGTTTTACTCTTTTTTTTTTTTCCTGACAACTTCCTCACATTCTTGGAGTAGGATGTTTTATTCTTCCAGGATTTCGTACCATTACGTATTGTTTGGAAAATAGTGGTTCACGGAGTCACGCAGACCTTCCAATTGTTGACACGTTTAATGGTATAACCTTAGACGACCACTTTGTATCCCTGCCCGTCTCATCAGGAAAGTCTTGAAGATGTGTGAAGCTGGTAGGCTCGTGGTGGAGGATACGAATGTTCTCAATTCTAATTTTTGCTTGGGAACTCCATTTTTATTACGGTTGTTTTCCCTGAAGTGACATGCTCACTTTGTTCACGTTTGAGAACATGTCTGCCAAGTACCCATGTTTTGTCTCTCAGTCATTCTTTTTAGCAAAAATGGTGTTGAATAAAAAAAGCAGTGCGTTCAGCTCGCAGCCCAGCCGCAGCGAGGCTTCCCTGGGATGCCTGTGCCTTCGGTTTGTAGCAGAAGTGCTTGTTGTGTATTTTCCATTTTGTCTCACAATGTTAAGAAGGCGTGTACTTAACGGTCAAGATATAATCAGATTGATGGTTTTCCCGGCTTCACCGTGGATGTTGTGACTTGAAGCTGCCTTGTTCTTTTCTGTGAGAAGTTGGGAGGACCTCACTCAACCCAACCAGCCTTGGGTTAAGTTAGGCCCCAGCGACTTTACCTGCTGCTGCCTCTGCCCCACCATGGCACTGTGGTGAAAGAGATAACATCTGGGTGTCATGAAAATGGTTTTGCCTTGTAGAGCCTCTGACAGGATCCTGCTGAATCTTGGGTTTGGGGACCATACTTAGAGAGCTGCTGTCTTGAAGCCCAAACCCACTGCTTTTTCTCCTTACTCACCATTTTAATTTACAGAATTCAACCTCTTCCCGAGATTCAGATTTTTGGTTTCTGTGTTGGCTAGGGAAGATTTAGATCCTGATCTGGCTGGATGGGATCAGATAACACTCAAAATGGGCCAGGTCCCACCAAGAAGTTGGTAACACTTGAAACCTGTCCCCAAATGGCTTTAGCAACAAGAGACTTTGCTCATGTAGCTGAAGTATCTTGGGGTGACTGGTCCAGGGCTCTGATAATGACATGTGGATCCAGTGACCCTCTTCTGCTTGTTTTTATGCGTGTCCTAAGGTGGCCCTGGGCAGTTTAGGCTGACTGCCTCTTGGGCCAAGGGCTGTGTTCCTTCTCTCACGCTCCCTGGGCCCCTACAAGATGGTCCTACACTACGGCTCTGTTTCAGTGGCCACGTGCCCCTGGTGTCCTTGTGTAGTACCTAACCTACACAGCTGAACAAAATGTCCCTTCAGGTCCCCATCTGGAATCAGCCACAGAGGCCAAGAGACTCATGCTCTGACTCTGGCCCATGGGGGTAGGGGTGGGGCAGAGCATTTCTGGAGGTAGATTTTTATTTCCCCATTTCATTTTATTTTTGTTTGTGAAAAGGTAATTCACATGGTTCAGAGTTGACATGGATGCACAGGATAAATGAATCATCCCATGGTAACCTCAGGCACCTGGTGTATCACCCTAGATACAGTGTGTTTTTGTACAATTTTCATAAATTCTAAGCAAATACAACAAATATACCTACATTAATTTTTCCTTTTTAAAATGCAAATGGTACTTCCTAGGGGAGGCAGCGTGGGTGGCAGCCAGCCACAAAGTCCACTCCACTGGTTTGCAGAGTGTGGGTTTGGGGGATGGAGGTTCCTCTGGGATTCAGTGGGAGGCAAAAGCCTTCAGGACTGCTGTGACCCCTGTCCTCTGTACATCTCCCCTCTTTATTTCGCTAGGACTGGCACAGGTCACCCGGGAGGCCCGTGTCACCCTCAGACGGGCAGGATGAACGACTGGCACAGGATTTTCACCCAAAACGTGCTTGTCCCTCCCCACCCACAGAGGGCACGCCAGCCTGTGAAGGAATCAGCAGCGTTCCAGTGTGTCCTGAAGTGGCTGGATGGACCGATCGTTAGGCAGGTAACAAAATGTGCTGTTGTCAAATGCATGTTGCCATTGTCTTAGCTGAGGTGACGCTTCCGATTCACACAGAGATGGTCTCCGCCTTACGATGGTTTGATTTTCGATTTTTCTGCTTTGTGGTGATACCCACACAGCCATTCTGTTTTTCACTTTCAGTATATTACATGAGATACTCAACAGTTATTTAAAAATAGGATTTGTGTTAGATGACTTTGCCCAGTTGTAGGCAAATGCAAGTGTTCTGACCGTATTTGAGCTGGGCTGTGCTAAGCTCTGATGTTCAGTGGGTTAGGTGTATTCAGTGCATTTGAACATAGGATATTTTCAGCTTAAACAGGGTTTATCAGGATGGAGTCCCATCATTGGTCAAAGAGCATCTGTATTGATTTTCACTTATTCACTTGAATCTTACCACTGTACCCATTACCTTGGGCCTTGGCAGTATTTGGAGGCAAAGTGGCCCATCAGCAAAGAGAATCCGATTCAGTGACATGGTCAGCACTTTTGACACTGGCTAGGGTTTCTTTCTGCCCACAGTGGAACAATTTAAAAACCCAAGTAATCTGATTTCCTGGGTTATTTCTGAACCAGGTGGCCTTATGCGTGGCTCAGCATGGCCCGTGTTCAGCCTGGCAGTGAGGACTGCAGGGGCTGAGCTCTGGGCATTCTGGCAGCTCTGTGTGTGGCTGGATGTATCACGGCTTTGGGCACTCTCAGGCCCGTGCCCTGATGGCGACACATCCATCTGTGCCCTTCAGCTAGTGGGGAACATGCTGGAGAAGCTGGTGCTTCTGTGCTGCTGCCCACAGGACACCCACACGATTGGATTGTCCTCATGAGGCCCAGTGGCCTATGGGCATGCATGAGAAGGACCAGTCTTGCCGTTGTCAACTCTTTTTACAGGGTTTGGCTTGGCAAGGCCATTTTCTTCTGCAGCTGGGAGAGTGATATTCACACATATTCAGTTGTTGGAGCCCGGGGTCTGTGACTAATTTACTATTATTAAATCACGGATGCTCTCTATCGTTCAAATCCAAGCCCTCTGATTGAGCACCTGCTGTGTCATTGCGACTGTGGTAGGTTCTGTGGTGGCTGCTGCTTTTACGGCTTTACTTCCAGCACTTTACTGTGTGAATTCACTTAATCCTCACAGCAGCCCTGTGAAGTTGCCACTACCTTACCCCCATTCTGCAGAAGAGCAACAGAACCCACTAGGAGTGGAGTCAGCTGCCCAGGGCGACGGCTTTAGCTGGGACGCCACCCTCCTCGTCTGGCTCAGCTGCCTTCCAGAAGCTCACAGGATAGTTGATAGCACTTCCCTCTTTCCTAGGAATTTTGCAAGGAAACTTTATTTCCCCATTTCATTTTAATTTATGAAAAGGTAATTCACATAGTTCAGAGTTGACAAGGATGCACAGGAAAAGTGAGTGATCCCATGGCAACCCCACGCACCTGGTGTATCACCCTAGATACAGCGTGTTTTTGTGTAACTTTCATAAATTCCGAGCAAATACAAATAAAAATATACCTATATCGATTTTTTCTTTTTAAAATGCAAATGGTACTTCCTGTATTCTATTTTTTTTCTCTCTCTCTTTTCTTTTCTTTTCCCTCCCTCCCTCCTCCCTCCCTTCCTTCCTTTCTTTCTTAGATGGGCTCTCACTCTGTCACTCAGGCTGCAGTGCAGTGGCATGATGTCAGCTGATTGTAAACCTCTGCCTCCTGAGCTCAAGAAATTCTCCTTCCTCAGCCTCCCAAGTAGCTGGGACCACAGATGAGCGCCACCACGCCCAGTTACATTTTTGTATTTTTGGTAGAGATGGTGTTTCACCATTTCTAGGCTGGTCTCAAACTCCTGAGCTCAGGTGATCTGCCCACCTCAGCATCCCAAAGTGCTGGGATTACAGGTGTGAGCCACTGCGCCTAATTCTGTACCTTACTTTTCCCAGTTATTTGCTATTACAGATACTGCTACAGTGAATAACCTCATTTTTTTCTTGTACACATATATCTGTAGAATAATTCCTAGAAGTGGAATTCCTCATCCAAAGTCCTATGTTAAAAGTTATTTAAAACCCAATTACATGTTGTTTACAAAAAAGTCCACTTTAAGTGCAAAGACATAAACGAGTTGCAAGTAGAAGGGTGGAAAAATATCTACCATGTACGTACTGAGCCAAGAAAGCTTTGTGACTGTTCCAAAGTCAGAAAGAGTAGATTTCCAGGTGAAGAGTATTACCAGAAAGAAAGCATTTCCTAAAGGCAGTGATCATCAGGGAAATGGAACAGTCCCTGAAAGTGTATGCACTTGTGTTAGGGGCCTCCGAGACCGCCTCCCAGGTTTGAAGAGTCTCCGAAGAGGACTCACATGACTCAGCATATAGTCATACTCTCAGTTAAGATTTACGGCAGCAGAAGGATACAGAGCAAGATCAGCAAAGGGAGGAGGTGTATGGGGGATGTCTGGGGGAAGGGGATGCAAGCTTCCAAGAGTTCTCTCTGGGTTGAGTCACACAGGATGCGTTTGATTCCTCCAGCAGTGAACCGTAACAGCACATGTTCCATGTTGGGTAGCATGTCCAAAACTCCAGACTCTCAGAAGGGAAACGGGTGTTCAGCATAAGCCACTCTGTACACTTTAGGCACGGTGTGCCCCGCTTACCAGTTAGGTGGTAGGAAGTCCTGAAATCTAAGTTCCCAGACTCCAGCCAAAGGCCAGACTTGTCAGCTGGTCTTTCAGAGCGTAACAGTCAGGACTGCTATGATAACTTTTGTACAAAAGAGCAAAATTGGACAGAACTAAAGGGAACTATATTCGGATTCAAAATCGTGGTTGGAGACTTTTAACTCTTCTCTCAATTACTGAAAAAACAAATAGATCCAAAAACTCATAAGGATTTGGAAGGTCTGAAGAATACCGTCAGTCACCTTGACATCTCTTAAACACTGCTCCCAACAAAGCTTGGATACACAATCTTCTCAAGTTTATATGGAACAGTCACCAAAATGTGACTATAAAAGTCATTAAAAGTCATTAAACAGTCATTAAAATGTGTCAATAAATTTCAAAGGACCCAAATTATAAGGTACGTTTACCAACTACTGTGCTTTTAAGTTAGAAATAAGTAACAGTACGAGATCCAGAAAATCCTTAAATAGTAGGAAATTAAAACACCAGATCAGAGAAGAATAGGAAAATTAGTATATGTGTTGCCGGAGCGAGCGCTTAATAGGGAAATTAAGAAATAATTTGAACTGCATAATGGAAGAAAATACATAGATTTGTAGGATTTAGCTAGTGCAGTTCTTTGAGGGAAATGTATAGCTTTACGTAACTATATTAGAAAAGAAGAAAGTAGAAAATCAGTGACCTCTGCCTCTTCCTTAACAATGTAAATAAAGGAACAGATTAGATACAAAGTGATTAGAAGAAAGGAAATGGTAAATACGGTTATGCATGGTTGCTTGACAATGGGAATACATTCAGAGAAATGGCATTGTTAGGCAATTTAGCCATCGTGCAAACATCATGGAAAGTACTTACACAAGCCTGGATGGCAGAGCCTGCCTCCCGCCTGGGCTACATGGTACAGCCTGTTGCTTCTGGGCTGCAAACATGTGTGGCACATGACCGTACTGAATACTCTTGGCAATTGTAACACAACGGTTTATCAAACATAGAAAAACAGTAAAAATAGAGTATTATAATCTTCAGGGGCTAGTCACATATACAGTCTGTTGCTGACTGAAATGTCATTGTGTTACACCTGATGTATATGAGTAGAAGTCAGTAAAGGACAAATAAGAGAGAAAATCAGTAAAGCTAGAAGTTGATTCTTTGAAAAGATTGATAAAATTGATCAAGACAAAAAAAGAAAACAGACCACCAATATTAAAATGAAACAAGCATCACTATAATGTATGCTACAGATGTTAAAAATAAAATGTTGAATTTCATGAGATACTAAAGAAGAAAGAAGATGAATTCTAGACAAACTCTTTCAGGAAATAGAGCAGGAGGGAACACTTCCCAGCTCATTTTTTGAGGCCACCATAATTCTGATACCCAGTCAAGGGCACTGCAGCAGAAGTACGAACTGGTATCCCTCGTGAATGTTAACACGGCAGCCCTGAAAATATCAGGACCGCAAAACCAGTGCTCTGTAAACGCTGGGGTATTAGGATCAAGTGGGGCTTACTGCAGGAACACAGTGTTGGCTTTATGTACAAAGATCAGTCAAAATACAGCATTTAAAAGAAGATAAATAGAATTTATGTAAGCTCTATAAATAGAATTTGGAAATAGATGATAAAAAGCTTTCGTATAGATAGTCTATGTTTCTTCAATTTTAGTTGTTTTGAGAGTTGATAGCTTTAGATAATAGCCACAGCTTTCTTCCCTATGAAAGGTGTTGGCTGAAGAATGCTACATGCTTGTTTTGAATTGAATTTATTAATGATTTTAATATATTTCTCTTACTGTCCCATTTACTTTTTTTGTTTAATTTTATCATGATCACTGATTATATTTCTTTATTTTGGGATGAGTATTTCAATTCAGTTTGACATTTATTGGGCACCGCGACATGTCTGGAACTCTGCAGAGGACACAGAATGGACTCTGCCCCGTGCTATGTCTTCAAGGAGCTCTCAGTGGATTCTTCTTTGAATAGACTTGGGTGTGAAGTAGGCTAGAGGTGGCGGGAGGGTGGTTAGGGTCTGGCATTCTGGAAAGAAGCCCAAGCCGGCGACAGATCTGGGAGCCACGGGGTCCTGCCTGATGATGGCCTCCTGAGAGAGTGCAGGAGAGGGGGAGGAGGGGACTCTAGGGGAGCCCAGGCAGTCCAGGTGAGGAGGGGCATGCGCTGAGGCCTTGCCTGGGCCCCAGGGACAGCAGGGAACAGACTGTGCCAGGCTCACGTCCTCACAGAGTTCACATGCTAGATGGGACGACAGACGGTCAACATGGAAAAGCTGGGTGACTGCTCTGGGGAGAGATGAGGAGGCTCAGAGCGTGGGTCTGGATGTGGGAGGAACTGAGGAGGAGGAGGAGGGACGGGAAGAGGGATGAGGGACGGGGAGGCTGCACGATGATGGGAGCTGGGCTTGGAGTCCTCAGGCCTGCTCTGCCTGCCCTCCCCATCCCATGGGTAACACGATCTCCCTCCAGGTTGCTTCACTTGAGACGCGGGACTCAGTGCTGGACCTGCGGGGGCGGGGCCGACCTAGTCAGCTGGTCCTTCCCACTTCTCCCTTCACGACCATGCAGCCGCTCCAGAGCCCAGGTGTGCCCACTTCCTGTCGCCCTCTCTGCCCCTCCCTCTCTTGCCTGGATGGTGGCAGCAGCCTCCTGACCAGCCCCTGCGTCCACTCCCTCCCCCACAGTCTCACGGACGCATGGCAGCTGCAGGAATTTTCTTAAATCCTGAATCAGATTGTGTCATTTCTGCTAGATCTCTCCCTGGCCTCTTTGCACGTTTGGAGTGAAAGCCCAGCTTCTTCTCACACTGTGAGGCCTGCCTGACGCTCCTGTGCCCGGAGCTCATTCCTCCTCTCTTCCCCGGCCCAGCCTGCTGCAGTCCAGCGGCCTTTCTGCTTAGAATGTACCTGGGATTGGTTTCCATTCAGGGGTGGTGAGGCCAGCAGATCAGGAGAGGACTGCTGCTGAGAGGAGGGCCAGGCCCACAGACCACTTGGGGGCGGCGCAGGGCTGGTCGGAGGCAGGAGGATAGAAGGGAGCCGGGGGCAGAGACTTGATTGTGGGAAGACTGGGCCAGGTACAGTGAGCAGCTGGGCAGGATGAGCAGCCAGGCAGGCTTGGCAGTGGCCAGGGAGAGTCATGTCATGGTCTCTGAGGTGCAGGGATGGCCCCGAGGTATCTGGTCACTGACCCCGGGAGATCAGGGCAGAGGGTGGGACTCCTGGGGTGTGTGGGCTCTGGACTGGTTGGTTTTCATGTTAGACACGTTCTGGCAGGTTTGCCATTTGCCACCCTAGGAATTAGCTGGCTCTGGGGGACAGTCTCTCTCATCACTGAGGCCCCAGATGCCAGAGCATCAGTAATACAGAAGATTAGAAAATACAGGCTGGGTGCAGTGGCTCAGCCCTGTAATCCAGCACTTTGGGAGGCCACGGCGGGCAGGTCACTTGTGGACAGGAGATGGAGACCAGCCTGGCAAAACCCCCTCTACAGAAAGTACAGAAATTAGCCAGGTGTGGTGGAGCGCACCTGTGGTCCCAGCTACTTGAGAGGATGAGGCAGGAGGATCACTTGAGCCTGGGACGGGGAGGTTGCGGTGGCCAGACCTTCAGCGTGGGTGACAGAGCGAGACTTTTCTTAAAAAAGCAAACAGTTACTATAGCTAAATATAGTTCTGCACTTCTCGCTGGCTTTCAGAGCACCTGTGGTTTCCCTTCAGGACCTTTGAGTTTGCTGCTCCTCCTGCCTGGCTCCTCTCCCCAGACCCCCCAGGGCAGAGATTTGGTCTGTTCTGTTCCCTGTTCTTTCCCTACTGCCTGGAAGTGTGCCTGGCAGAGAGTCAATGTGCAGAATAGATGCGTAAGTAATGTTTGCTAAGTGGATGGGTGAAAGGCAGAGGACTCTGTCTCAGGTAGGAACCTGTCATGGAAGAGCAAAGCCTAAGGTAGCACTTGCTGTGAGTGGTAAAGTCCCGGGGCGGAGTCCTGTCTCCGCTCTGGCTGCTGTGTTCTGTATTTGTAGCCATGATTTCTTAATTCTCAAAGGTCTGCTTTTTCCTTTGCTAATATCACCCCAAAATCTGGCAAGTTGAGGATTTAGAGTTTCTGGTTATATCAGGAAGGGCTCATTTTGTTGCAGATGATTAAAAAACCCATCCAAAATGATTTAAGCGACAGGTGATTCGTTAACTTACACAACAAATCCATAGCCAGCATAAGCTTCAGGTGTGGTTTGAGCCAGGTCTTAGGTGATCTCCTGGACTTGTTCTCTCTCACCTCTTGGCTGCCGGCCGCCCTGGGCCTCATTCTGGCAGGCACGTGTGTCTCCTGTGGTCATCGCCTCTTGTGTGTCCTTGTGCTCTGGCTGAGTCAGAAGCCTGTGTCTGTTCCAAGGGACTGCAGTGTCTCATTGGCCAGGGGAGGCCGAGTGCTTTGGTTTATAACCCCACCAAGACCAGTGGCAGTGGGAGAGAGGTAGCCCCCCGAGAAGGACACTGGATGCTGATACCTAAGCAAGGGTGAATGCCAAGTGGCCCATGTGCACCTGCGTGGCCTGCAGTGACTGCATGGTGCTGAGACGCTTCAGGGCCATTTCCCACTTGTCTCCTAGGGTGTGCTGGAGATGCTGTCAGAGGTTGAATGCCATCTGCGAGTGTCTTTCTTTGATGTCACCTACCGGCACTTCTTCGGGAGGACGTGGAAAACCACAGTGAAGCCGACAAAGAGACCGCCGTCCAGGATTGTCTTCAATGAGGTGGGCCTTGGTGACTGCAGCAGGGGCCGCTCCAAGACGGAGAGTGGGTGTGTGGGTCCTGGGTGTCAGCCCAGAGATCGGGCCTCACCCAGACCTCACAGTGTGTCTAAGACCTGCGGCCCCAGGCAGCACAGAGCTCAGCCTAGCGGCAGGCACTTGATTTCCAAACACCGTTTTAGGTGGAAGCCAGTTGTCCTAAACAAATGAGAAAGCTCTGCTCTGCTGTAGTTTAAGGGTCAGGGGCATGGGGGTTTTGTCACCCTCAAGGACCCTTGGAGTTCTTGGGAATAAGTTGGTAAATTATTGACCTCATCTGTCCCCCCTGCCACTGCTGCTCCCCTGCCATCCCCTTCGCTGCCCCTCCCTTGCCCTGCCCCCTTCCTCTTGCCCTGCCCTCTCCCCTCCTCTCCCTCCTTCCCTGCCTTCCTTTCTTTCCTCCCTTTTGTATAGGGAAATTAGGATTTAGTAACGTGACTTGCCCAGGTAGCAGGTGTCAGAGCCTGGACTCACACCTGTGCCTTCTGTCTTGGGACCGGTAGGTGGGTGGGCACTGGTGGAGTGTCGTGTTTCCATTCAGGTGGTCTTGCAGCTGGCCGCCCTACGGGCCGGCGTGCTCTGTCTCTGCGGTTGCACTGCACAGCATGTATTCCCTTCAGCACCCGCTGTCTGCAGGCTGCCGTGCTAGGCTCAGGGTGATGATGGTGCTCACCTAACAGAACTGCAGACTGCTGGGGAGACACACCGAACAGTAACAGAGCAATTGCAAGTTGTGTTAAGTTGTCAGGAGGAGCCCAACAGGAGAGCACGGAGACCTGCTTTAGGTGGGTGATAAGGAAGGCCTCTCTGCGGAGCTGCCCTTTAAGCTGGGACCTGCGGGACGAGAAAGCAGCTGGCTCCGTAATGAGCAGGGAGAAGTCTGCTTCGAGTAGAGCGGGGAGAGCCGGGGGTGTCAGGGGTGAGGGGAGAGCCGGGGGTGTCAGGGGTGAAGGGAGAGCCCAGGTGCACAGTGAGTGGGGTTGAGGGTGGCCCCTGGTGCCTTCTGGCTGGGTCCTACGGGGTCTTAGGGATGCTGGTGTTTTACTCTTAAGAGCCGGGGATGTCATGGAGGTCATCCCCATGCCTGGCTGCTGCTTCACAGCTGAACTAAGTGGGTGGAGCTTGAGAGAGATGGTGTCTGAGCATGACAGGTGTGCAGAGGAGATGAGAGGGTCTAGGCTGTCTTGGTTTGATCTCTCTCAGGTGGGGACATTGTGGGGA